TCTTGCAAGACTTGTTTACAAAACGGACACTGATGAACCCCACTGAAATGTGTGATATCCTTGATATGTGAAATGATGTTTAAAAAAACACACCTGGAGTTAACAAAGAATAACCACTTGAACAAAATCTATTTTCAACGAAAACTTGGCTGATTGCGATATAGCTTTCACTGGATTTCCCTGAACCTTCGAATTTGACCTTCATTTCATAATAAAAAAAATAATTAACAAAATAATCATTAGTCATATTAGGTACCAAACGTCTGTCCTCTGATTTCCAGCACAAATTGAATACGGAGTGTCTAAACGCATTGCTGCCTGACGGAGCGATCCAAAAAAGTTAAAGCTTCAGGCAATCGATTATTTTTGGAAAACTGTAAAGAACAACAAATATTTCAAGTAATAGAACAAGATTGAAAAAATAAATCCGATTAAAATCTGTTCGAGAAGGTTGTATACTTGTTTATGATATCCCTCATTGAGCACGTAAAGTTACATCATTTCTTAACAATAGCTAAAAGCTAAAATGCGTTGTTTCATAGTAATAACATAAATATGCACAGGTCGTTAAACGTATTAAAAAAGACATTGTTAAATCGAATCTGTTATACATGGGGTTATGCAGTAACCATGGCTAGGTAATGAAGCTGTATTTGTTTTCTTTTCCACGGACCGTATGTCGCATAACTTTTGCCTTCAGTTACAGTCAAAAGACATGAAGTATATAGTTCGTTCTAAAACTCATGAAATGATTGGCCCACACTACTTACAACTGTCAAATTAATCGTTTTTATTGGCCAATCAAAACAAAGCAATATGTAAATGTGCTACAATTGATCAATGCCCGCCAAAACTTGTGTTTACTTTCGTTCAACTAATTTTACAACTGTGTAAATATATTATATCAATGTCCCTTTTTAAAAAAAGTTAAATATTTCTTGAACAACAAAAACCTTGTCATTTGGAAATGAACAGCCGTGAAACACTCCATTTGACAAGCTTTTTGGCTGCTTCTGGACTCGACATGCAGGGTAACAGAGAACTGTGATGCTACGACTTGAGGAAGTTCTTAACGCTTCAATGGATCCAGCTGGTACCAAGGCATTCGACAGCATCTTTACACCTGTTTAATAAACGGCCTTCGATTGTAATGTGCGTCACTTTGCTCACTTCCATGGCCAGATATGTTTATAATGTGTCTTGTAGGAACTTCGGCATCTGACCACAAGGTAATGCTGGTGGCTCGTACACAGTGGTTTGTGTACGTTTTTGACAACTCAACGCCGATGCTTATATTCTTCATCATCTGGGATGTAGTGTTCACGTGTACAACCACATGTAATGATGTAATTTACGCAGTGTAATAAATCGAGCATCGAAGACACCACATCTGGCGACGAGGATCAAAATAATCGAACCAAACAACCAAGATAATGGCTATCAACCTACCAACCTTTCCAGCTTTTGAAGTATACATCGACAATAACGCAGGACCAAGATGGGAGAATTGGCTCCAGCGATTTCAACGACTCCTAACCGCAATTCAAATCACAGACGCTGCCCAGAAACGCGCCATGCTTCTACATTACGCCGGCCAACGAAATTTTTGACACTCTACAAGACACGTCTGGCGAAGACAAGGATTCCCGGGGGGGGGGAGGTACTCCCATATATTTGCTATACGGGGACGTGCCGCTGGCCAGGGTATGGTTTTTGGCCTTGCTGTCTTAAACAGGGTATACATTTCACCCGAAACTGTCTTAAAGAGGCTCTACAATTTGGATAAAAGAGACCGATATAATTTTTTTGTGTGTCTTGGACAGGGTAATATTTTCATAACACCGTAGAAATAGTAGAAATACCGTTTCACTGTCCCAGAATTAACGTGTTATCAAAAACTTCTTATTGTCTTTGATGGATGTCAGTATATTTGCAGTTTTGATGGTTGCGGCGTAGATAGCTACTTCTTATTTTTCCGATTTGTCTTGAACAGGGTATGGATGTTTACTTTTTAGTGTCTTAAACAGGGTCAGGGATTTAGACCGCTGGCGGCACGTACCTATCCAAAACGTGGTCGAGTACCCCCCCCGGCAAGGATTACACGAAAGCCGTCGAAAAACTGAATGAACATTTTGAACCAAAGACAAGTACTACGTACGAAGTTTACAACTTTAGACAAGCGAAGCAAAACAACGGCGAATCACTAGACAGTTTTCACACACATCTGAGACAATTATCATGCAAAACACTGCAAATTTCCCGACGTAACCAAAGAGATCAAAGAACAGATCATACTCAACTGCGCATCGAACGCATTAAGACGAAAAGCTCTTCGAAGAACTAGATTTACCGAACCTCCTCAAGGCTGGGAGAGCACTAGAAGTAAGTGAAACTCAAGCGAGAGAAGTTGAGCAATCCGAAGCGAAGACAAACGCGATAAGRTCAAAGAAACCGCCATTAACTCCACACAGAGCAAGAAAAGACAGGCAACCCGACAAAGGAACACCATCGCCACGCTACTCACCAATCAAACCAAAACAATGTGGACTTTGTGGGGGAGAATACCCGCACAAAAACGGCCCTTGTAAAGCTAAGGGCAAAACTTGTAATTCATGTGSCAAGCTAAATCATTTCGCCAAAGTTTGCCGATCGAAACCAAACAAAAAAAAAAAAACACGTCAGAAACGTCACTCGAGAACAAGATGTCACGCAACAGGATGTCACGCAAGACTACGAAGACTAAACCGAGGACTACACCTACACCATCAGAAATCCATCAGAGAACAAGAAATCACCAATGKGYGAAGTCACMATAGATGAAGCAAAAGTAACAATCATGATCGATTCCGGATCCTATCATATGGAACTTATTGCCATACATCGGGTGACATTTGCTTGGATTATTGTCCAGGCTCACTCATGCATCCATGCATGCATGTATATATGCATGTAATTTATTTATTTACTTCATGAAATATAATACAATGGAGTTAATTAATATTTTGCCGTCGATCGACCTCATTAACATCATCATCTGACCATTAAATACTATTAATAGCAAAGTCACCTCTAGAAAGGAAAGTACATGTACATATAATATCACAGTACGTTCACTGACTGATATAAATTTTTCAAATATTGAATTAACACAAAACCGCATAGTTTTGAGTACATTTTCAACATATAATAAGAAAGCAATAATTTGAAAAATTCAAGTTTGATTTTTGTTGATTGTGCCTACAGAAGTAGTCTCCTTTGCATCCGTTCATAGTCGGGACAGGATTCCCGAAACGCAAACGGATGCGAAGCAACGCCAACTCTTCAAAGGCGAAAATACGTAATTTGATTTTTAAATTTTCTCACGAAAAATACACAGCAATGTCACACATACATTTTATTTCTTAAATCCGGTGCTAGGTTTTTTATTAACAAAATAAGTTATGCGCGAGGCCCAGTTTTTTGGAGCGAACTGTGGTGAAAACATGGATCGCCATACTATTTTAATGCTCAACCTCAACTCTTCAAGGGCAAAAATACGTGATTGGATTTTCGAATTTTCTCATGAAAAATACCCAGAAAGGTCGCATATAGATTTTATTTCTTAAATCCGGTGCTAGGTTTTTAGGATTGTTTTTAATGTCGCCGCATTTCTTCAAAAAGCCTTGAAATCTGGCCTTTTTTCGTCAAATTTGGCACTTCATACGGACTGTCAGGTCAAGCTTGAGTGATCACGGACTATTTGTCCCCCATAAGTTCCATATGNCTCACTCATGCATCCATGCATGCATGTATATA